CTCTTCTCCCATTGCTGCTTGCTTGCTTGTCCTAAATCTGTTTCATATCTCAAAAGAGACTGACTCAAGATACTACACTAATCCTGCCTAATTAACATAACAAAGACAACCCATTCCCAAATGGGATTATAACCACAGACACAGAGGTTAGGATTTACAACACATTTTGGGGGGGACATAATTCAATCCGTAACAGGCCATAAATTTGGTACCACACTGCATTTTCTAACAGTAAATACCTTACATATCTACAGGCGTATGGTTCACCAACTCACCTATTTTTTACCACTTCCAGGATCATGGTCGAAACACAAGATTTATGAGAGACTAGATTCTGAAGAAATTTTGAGCCTTGGAGGAGCTGAAGATCCTTAAAGCTCTTCACAACTGAAGTCTTTAAAAGGTCAAACACCTAAGATAATTAAAGTAATAGCAAAATGAAGTAAAAATGATAGCTCATGCTATTGTATTTTAACCCTGTAACTGTTCCACTTGCTGCCACTCACTCCTATTCCTGTAACAACTGTTTCACTAGATGAGTGTTTCTAAAATTATGACTTTCAATGGAAACTTAAAAGCTGTGTTGAAAACAGGCCCTCTTTAAAAGAGAAAAGGGCTAGAATATCATCCACAACAAGGAAACACATATTAGAAAAAAGGGCAAAGGTTTTTATGTATTTTCAACCTTGCCACTAATGCATTCTCATTAATTAATTTCAACTTGATCAGGGACATATTTTTTGGACAGCTATAACATAATGTAACTGTTACAGTTTTATCCAGCTAAACTTTGTTATTTGTTGATGAATATCCAGCTAAACTTTCCTTTCTTGCTACTTTGGCTGTGTGATGTGTTTCCGCACTTATTCCCACCGTATCGCCTGCTTACCACAGAGCAGGAAATGGAGGGATAAGCCATGTACCTCAAGAAGTCTTCCAGCAGCCCCCAGGAAAAAGTGCAGGGCTACATGGTTTACAGAACTTACTGCTGGCAGGACAGGGTGGAATTGTTTAGGAAGGGATAATAACAAAAACAGGCTCTTGTACTCCTTTTTACCAACTATAGATGGAACCAAAGGGCCTTAATAAATACCTGTTCCTCAAATCTTTGTATTCTTGTTACAGACAGCAGGAGAGCAATGGTGAAGGGACATAAGTTCTTACTGGAATCTCCTTGCTGTCCTGTCTATCGTAGATAAAACAGAAAACAGTCATTACTTACATCTT